GCGGACGCCTGCAGCGCCGTCAATCCGGCTAAACGTCTCCATTGGGCTCTTGGACGACCAGATCCAAGTTGTCAAGTCATTGTCCAAGTCAGCTGAACCTCCTGGATCCGTGAGAGTCTCTACCGTGTTTTTTGGTTCGTCCGCGTTGCCTACAAATTTTGCACAATTACAATGAAGTTTCACTTGAGGAAAAATGAAACAGGAGAGAAAAGACATTTAAAAAAGGAGGTTAGGCAGTATGCACAGCGAGGCGACCACTTCTGGCGCAGTGCGCATGAAAATCCTCCAACGGCACGTCAGGTGATTGAACGCTCGTGTGCCTTGTACACTTGGGTAAGCGGATGAGGCAAACGAATGGCATGAGAGAGAGAGAGAGAGAGAGAGAGAGAGAGAGAGAGAGAGAGAGAGAGAAAGAAGAAGGGAGGGCAAGAATTGATTTTATTGTGCGTTGCCTTACCAAGAGCAAAGACGGTATTGGCGGAGGTGAGAAGAGTGAACAAGCGACGAGGCTGCTCCATGCCGGCCAGCTCTGTCCACTGGCCGATGGGGTTCCCGGCGTCTGGCGGTGAGAACGTCTCCACAACGTTGAGAGACCTTTGACCATCGTATCCACCGGCGACCAGGATTGCTCCCCGAAAGGGCGTCGCTGCGAGGTCGGATCGTGCAGTTCTCATGGCGGCAGCTGGCTGCCAAAAGTCCACGGTGCGCCCTGCGGTCGCCTTCTCTCGCCAGTCTGCGCGCAGATTGCAGAAGACCACAGAAGCAAGCTGGGAGGAGCCATTCCAGCCGCCAAAAAGGAAAACCCGACTGTCGCCGGGCAGGCAGGCAGCAGCTGGACCGAGCCTCTTCTCTGGCAGATCGGGCAATTTATGCCATCTGTTCAAGGCAAGCGGGATGGGAAGTGAGTAGAAGGAGAGAAATATTTTTGTTTGCAAAAAGCATGCGCCACAACCAGCGCCTTCTCACCTGTCCTGCCTGACGTCATAGACTTCACAGGAGGCGAGGTATGTCCAGTTACCACCTTCCTTGAAGGCTCCACCAAAAATGCCTATCACCATCTCCTCTCCGTCGACGGCGTGAACCTTCACGACGGCGGCGGCGTGCTGCTGGCGTCGAACAGCGAGGGGCGCCCGTTTGCGCCAGCGTCCCTCTCTCATCAGAAACTCGTCAACATCAACTAGCGCTGAGCCGTTCCATCCTCCACCGACAACGAAAATGCTCTCTTTCGGAAAAACGAATGCAGAAAAGCCAAGTTGGGGGGTCAAGAGACTTTACACAGATTAACTGTCATTTGCAAAAAATCAATAAGCAGGCACCAGCTGCAATAAAAAGTTTGTCTGGCTAAGAGCCTGACTTATTGTCTTTATTCTTCTTACAAAACACCAAATGCTGTAATACTGCCGCAGAGAGGGGTGCTGGACTTCAACAAGCCAAAAATCCAAAGCAGACAAAATGCGCAGAAGAGGAGACGCAGAACTCTCCGACAACTCACCGTCCACGACAGCGTAGGAGGCGAACCAGCGGCGCGTCTTCATGTCAGCAACGCGTTCTACCCGCTGCAGGTGCTGATCTGCGCGACGGACCGACCACCTGCCCAGATCCCTTTCTTCTCCAAAGAGGAAGACCGTCCGGCGTAGAGGAGGCCTTAAGTTGAAGGGGCAGACCGGCTTGTCCTTGTCTGCAGCTCCAATCCACCGCTCAGCCTGAAGCAAAAGCCGACTTTCGTAAAGATATAATAACAAGACCGAAATAGCATCTACTTACAAACATTCGGGATTTTCCCGAAATATTGGATGATTCTCCATCAGGCGATCGCGACATTCCACGGTCGTCAGATGCCACTGGACCTCTTTCAACATCGCCGGGACGTGCACTTTCAGCCTCTCATCGACGGCCTGGCCACCGGCACCCGCCCAGCGAGCAATCGCAGCAACAACCTCCTCCTCAGATCCCACGGACAGGTAATCGCTCCGAAGCAGGCTGAGGACGGTTTCGGCCGGCAAACGAACAAAAAGTTCAGTTGGCACGAATTCTTTAAAGTGCTCCTCCATCAGCCCAATGCACGTATCCGCCAGCAATTTGATATTCAGAGACTTGGCAAAGTCCCAAGTGGCTGACAAATTTTCTAAATTGACTCTTTAGAGCAGGCAGGTAGAGAGGAATAGTCGGGAAAGTGCCTACCTATCGGACAAGAATGTCACTCCCCAATTCACCAGGGCGGGGATTTCCAGCATTCTTGCAAGCGCAATCAGGCCCCTCACGTTATTCTGTGTCATCTCCACCCGGCCAGTGTACACATACTGGACGAGAGCATTTGCGAGACTATAAAAGTTGTAAGCAAAACCTCAAGAACCAACCTGAGCGACGCTGTCGGCCACCTTAAGACCGAATTCTCCCCCCCGAGGGGGCCACTGAGAGACGCTCGCAAAGAAGGAATGCGAGCTGCCAGCACTATTCGATGGACGTGAAGGACATCGCCGTCTCTGACCTAACACGCACAAATGTCCGCCGTAACTAAGGGAAGTTACCTCTATGGTTAGGTCTTTAATGTCTTGGGCAAGACGAATTTCGTTTAAGGCAGGACAGCTTCGAATCAGGGGATGTTGGTCTTCGAATAGTTCTGCTTCCTGGAGCGCCATTTGGATTTGTAACTAGAGCAGGAGAGAGAGCGAGAGACGGACGGAATGCCGTGAGTGCTACGTGCGCCGCCTTTTACGGTGGCCCCATACGTTGCACACGCACGCACACTCCGGCTCTGATTGGCCGATTGTGGCATACGGAGGATTTCATTGAGCGATAGTCGGCAGAGGAAAGGTGGCGCCGCGAATTTTCATTGGTCGAGGCGAAGGTGGCTAGAAGTCGCTGATGACATACATTTCGTGCCAAATCGATTGACGTGTGCTCTGTCGACAAGAAAACCATTCGGGCGGGAATCGAATTACAGGTAGTAAATGTTGGCTCCATGTCTACGCATAAGTTAAGCTAGTGGAGGTATTACGTAAACCCAGACAAACATTAAGACCAAAGCTCATTTGACAGCCAGGGTTGGATTCGGTCAAATCTGCCTAAATGAAAATCGGATCTTCTCACCGTTTAGGGGAAAGACTAAAATATTTTTGGAACATAACACACCAAGGATACGGCGTTCTGCAGAAAATCACACACTTTTGGTCCTGAGGCGATGTACTTACTATAGTCCCGACTAGTCAACCTTCGCCAACGGATTAAATATCGGCTTCAAAAGCACAGGTTTAGTCAGAAATGCGAGGGAAAAACGCATGCAGACAGGAGAGTGCCCAATTCGCATCCGTGGTCCACGTCCGACAGAATATCGAATATTCGGGACAGATCATTATGGACCATTGCTTGAGCGATATTTGCGTGATAGCAGGCAGTCACTGGGATAGGTGACCGAAAATTGTGCGCGCCGCTAGGAGAAAAAGAAAACGGCGTTATTTGCTCTGAGTTAATTTATTCCAAGAACGCAAACATTTGATGTTTTCACAGATCTGCACTGCTCTGGCTTCTTCTTCTTCTTCTTCTTCTTCTTCTTCTTCTTCTTCTTCTTCTTCTTCTTCTTCTTATTCTTCCCTCTTCTTCATCTTCTTTCTCCAGTCGCGCACCCTTTAAAAGCGTAGATGACGATGACAGGGAGTTCAGCAGTTTCCTTTGCCGCGCTGACCAGCAGATACGTGAGCTTCCAGGCACAAGTGCGTGAGCTGGTCATTAGTTGGCTAACACTCCAGTAATGCATGATTCTTCTCTTCCAAGAGGATATCGTTACACTGCATCTCCTGAAAGTCGCATGTGCCGTTGTTATGGAGACTGAAGTGTCAATTTACCAAGCGGTCCTTATTTCCCGGCGTCCCAATTCTCGGGCTAGAAGTCCGAATATGCTGTAGACGCTCGCTCTGTACCATTGGGGATTTCAGACTGCCACTTCTTGGTTAAAAGTGCAGACGAATGCTCGCACATTCCAGTATTTACTATGAACCGACAGCAACCAATTCAGCGGCTTGGATAACTTACGACTCACTCACATCATTGACTAAAAATTACGAGAAAGGAATCATCTTTGCCACATTTTGTGTCCTCGAAAACAAGCATACTTTGACAATACTTGGTCCGAAACCAATAATTCATTAATAATACTTCCCTGGAAAAGGTCTCATACGTCGGGCCGAGCGTTGATGCGCGGACCAAATACTCACACTTTGACGTATCCTCTAAACTCCGCCACGAATACCAGCCACCGACGGCCGTCTGCTCTGTTTACTTCAGCGCAGCACTCACATCCGCCAATGCTGACTGCCTCTGACGGATGAGGGGGCAGTCTCAAATAGAACTGGTGAGGCTGCTGAAGAATTAACAGCAGAGAAACATGTCCTTTCACGAAAAGGTGGTGCTCGCAAGTTTAAACAATCCTAAGAATTGCCAATAGAAGCGAAAAGACGAGTCCCAGGAAGCAGTCTTGAAGAAGAAGACACGATCGCCGGGACAAGAGCTTTATTAGCCTGACGTTTCGGATTCCTGCTCGAATCCATCATCAGAGACATAAGCAGATAAGGGTGGTTCATGCACATGTGGCTGCAGTATTTATAGGATGCCCTTGCCATGCCACCGCATACCTATGAATGTTCACGGCTCCCTCCCCTTCATCAGGGATCGTTGCACGTGGCGTGATGGTCGATATTCGCGTCGTTAATTGCTGCAATTTCATCACGTGCGTTGGATGTTGGTGTGATGATTGCTCGACCATCTGACGCGCTGACCCGGGTGCTGGGAAGAGTGTTCATCAGGGCGCTCCCCGCGTGGCCAATTTCTCCGCCTAGACGAAGTCTCAGCACGCTGTATTGAATGGGAAGATCATTGCACTTGTTAATAGACTGGGGGCCAGTGAACCATGACTCAAGCAGCTCCCGGCTCAGCTCCTGAAGTTCTGTCTCAGGACGTACTTCACGTTCGACGGGACAATCTACGAACAGGTGAAGGGCACACCAATGGGTTCGCCGATTTCGGGATTCATCGCCGAGGCGGTCCTGCAACGGTTAGAGTCGCTGGTCTTCCAACACCACAAACCGACGTTCTGGGCCCGGTATGTGGATGATACCTTCGTCGTTATCGATCGGGATCAACTGCTGACATTCAAGGAACGTCTGAATGCGGTCTTCCCGGACATACAATTTACGATGGAGGAGGAAGAGAACAACCAGCTGGCCTTCCTGGATGTCCTCGTATGCCGCAAGGATTGTGGTGGACTAAAGACCAAAGTGTTCAGGAAAGCGACAAATACGATGCAAGTACTGAACTTCAACAGTAACCACCCAATCAGCCACAAACGCAGTTGTGTAAGGACGCTCTTTCGGCGTGTCGAAACGCACTGCAGTGAGCCGGAAGACAAAATTGCTGAACTACAATACCTCCGACGGGTATTCAAAGCCAATGGCTACCCGAGCAACTTTGTCAACCGGTGCATACGCAAAATGGACCAAAGGCCTAACCGCAGGGACACCAAAGTTTGGCGAGCGCTTCCATATGTCAAGAACGTTTCGGAAGCTGTTGGCCGCCTTCTCGCACCGCTGGGGGTTGGAGTTGCACACAGGCCAGAGGCAACCATCAGGCGTCAACTGATGAAACCAAAAGACCCACTGCCACGGCAAGGAACGTCTGGAATCGTTTATCGGATCTGGTGCAGTTGCGGACGAAGCAACTACGTCGGAGAAACCGGAAGACAGCTCCGAACGCGAATGGCCGAACACGCTGCATCAGTGCGGAGAAATGACGCCAGCTCTCAGGTTGCGGCTCATTCGACGGGTTCCGGCCACACATTCAAACTTGACGAGGCCGAAATTCTCGCAAGAGGTGACAACCGCGTGAGCCGGGAGCTGCTTGAGTCATGGTTCACTGGCCCCCAGTCTATTAACAAGTGCAATGATCTTCCCATTCAATACAGCGTGCTGAGACTTCGTCTAGGCGGAGAAATTGGCCACGCGGGGAGCGCCCTGATGAACACTCTTCCCAGCACCCGGGTCAGCGCGTCAGATGGTCGAGCAATCATCACACCAACATCCAACGCACGTGATGAAATTGCAGCAATTAACGACGCGAATATCGACCATCACGCCACGTGCAACGATCCCTGATGAAGGGGAGGGAGCCGTGAACATTCATAGGTATGCGGTGGCATGGCAAGGGCATCCTATAAATACTGCAGCCACATGTGCATGAACCACCCTTATCTGCTTATGTCTCTGATGATGGATTCGAGCAGGAATCCGAAACGTCAGGCTAATAAAGCTCTTGTCCCGGCGATCGTGTCTTCTTCTTCAATCCTAAGAATGTGTTTATGGCCCCTTAACTATATGCCCATGGCCAAAAAAACTACACCCGTTACCTGCATGAAAAATAATCAAGAACTTTGGGTAATCGACTATCGCTGTCTGAGGGTCACCCGAAGGGGTAGAGTTCACAGACTTCAGCTCAAGTGAGATGGTCCGCACTCGCTGCAATATCAGGCCACCTGTGGGAGACCACCCAAGTGGTTGGACACGCTCATCATGTCATGATTGCAGTATTCCTGCCTACCTAGAGGCGCCAGAGAGGAGATTGCTGGCCTTCACCAAAACATGGAGGATGCACCTCGACCTTGTGCCTTAGGTTTCCAACTTCGAAAAAAGTAATGGATCGAGCTTCCTGAATTTACTGTCACGGATGGTCAGGTGTGGAACCCAGTTTGAGCAGCCATGATAACGGGTGCATCAAGTACAATTAAGTTAGTACTACTGGCCAATTTACTATGTATTCCGTCAACAGTCGCGGACTGAATTCCGTTTTATCCTCTTTTTCTGGGTTCTTGGCGGCAATCGACTCGAGAAAACGCCGTGCATCCGATCTTCGACCAGCAGACTGAGAAACAGGTCATATTCGAGTCCTAATTTCAAACTCGCAACATTTAGTTTAAAAGGACAAACAGTAAGAGTGGGAGGGGAAGGAGGGTTTGATGCTGTAAAGTTAAAACGACATAAAACAAGAATGCAGCAATGCTTCACTCGATTGTCTTGACGACACTTTTTATCAAATTCAAAGCCCCACTACGAAAAGACAAACGCAGTGGTCTTCGGTACACCCTATTCACGCATTACTTTTCGCACAAATTCTTAAAGACCACGTCGATTCGGCAAATGAGTCAATACAGGTCAAGAGATAATAAGTTCTGTGATTAAAACTAGCTGCGCGGATGTTATAGATGCTCAAAGGGAATGGTATATGGCCTCCTCTCGCCGAAATTGAAATTTAACCTTAGAATAGTATATATCCCATATGGTCTGAAGGCTTGCATCGGTAGCTCCAAATGCCTTGGTCACCTTTTTTCTCTGGCTCCCTTTCTAACCTATTACTTACTCATTACTTTCTCAATTTTCCATTAACGCGCTGTTTTCTTGATTTCAACCATTCGGCGTTCACTCCCGGTATAATTACTCATGGAACTCCCTTTTAGTTACTACACTAATTATAATCATATTAGATTCCTTGAACCACTACGAGGACATGAAGACAGAACAGAGTCGCAAAATATGGACGGGGAGAACATTCAATACAGAAATAATAAATATTAAAATAGGAATGGGGTCATGTCATTGTCCATCCATACCATGGCAGTGCGAGTTTGATCACGTGATCCAGCTGCTTACGATATAGTATGATACGTCGAAAGTTAGTTAATTAACGTCAGTAGACTAGACATTATGAACATGAAATCACCCTCAGTAGTAAAACACGTTTGTGGAGCTGTTTAGGAGTGCGAATAATACCGTTCGACAGTCCAAATATTTAGCTAACTTCAGTAACTGAAGTGTGTTTACTCATCATCTACATACATTACCGGTCCCTAAAATAAAAAGGCTAACTTGAAACGTCTTCGTTTTCGGGGTAGACTTCAATTACGTATTTATTTTCTTTTGGAGTTCGGTTTGTGTGTTTGATTCTCTTTAATGCGTCCGGGCTAGATCACATTAATATTTTGATAGAAATTCCCAACATTCTGAACCTATGCCCGACTTACAAAAATAGATAGTATTTACTAAATCAAAGAAATCAGTCTAGAGTTCTAGTTTAAATGCTGGTCCTCCCAATCTTTGCCTCCGAATAATTATCGAAGAATAACCTTCCAGACCTCTTCAAGATGAGGTCGCCTTGAGAAAAGGGGTGGATAAGCAATGACAGCAAATGCATTCCGTGCGGGATCCCCCACTGGTACACGCCCGTGAAGTCAGAGCCGAGCAGGGGTAGCGAACTACTGACAAAGCCCCTTCACAGTCACATGTGGTAAATCGAATTGGCTACCTGTCATGTTTGGCTCCTCTTGTGAATGCAGAATTCGCACAAGTGGTGACTGCATGACTCAGACGCACCATGGCGTAGAAGGCTGTCTTCGGGCCTAGTATACAAAGTAAGTGGAAGACGTGAGATGAGTGCAATGGCGAATAAGGCACAGGGGCGTGCGAGAACGACTGCATACCAGCAAATACAGGACTTCACTGGGCGTTGAGCATAAACAATTAGATTTTATTCATATCCCCACAAGTCACGCAAGCAATGGGCAAGAGGAGGAGAATGCGGAGAAGAGCAAGAGGAATGAAGTAGACGATGGGGAGGAGGCACAAGCAGACGAGGAGAGGGAGAGAGAAGACGGGAGAGGAAAGAAATGTAGGGGGAGGACGCTGAGCAAGCGAGGAGGAAGGTTGCGAGTGCGGACGGTGGCGACATGGGGGAAGATGGGATGAGGGGATGGGATAAGTCATGCAAGCAATGGGCAGGAGGAGGAGAATGCGGAGAAGAGCAAGAGGAATGAATTATACGAGGATCGAGAGGCAAAAAGTGGGGGGGAAAATAAGAAGAAGAAGAGGAGGAGGAGGAGGAGGAGGAGGAGGAGGAGGAGGAGGAAGAGAAGTAGACGAGAAGGCAGGTTGCGAGTGAGGACAGGAATGACGTGGGGGAGGGGAGTAAAGGGAGGGGGAGCTGTTTAGGAATGCAAATGGTGTCGTTAACCAGGTCAAATATTTAATTAATTTCAGTAACTTAAGTACGTTTGCTCATCTTCCAAATGTGTTATCAGTCCCTGTAATAAAACGCCCAACTCAAACACGCCTTCCATTTCGGGCTAGAATTCTAGTGGACATCCGGGCTAGATCGCATAAACATTTTGTTAGAAATGCCCAAAATTCCAAATCTACGTTCGACCTACAAAAATAGATCGGATTTTTCCTCTCAAACAATGCTGTCCCTGTGTATGTCTTCCAAACCTCACCTTACTTATTTTATCAATCTTAGTAAAGTATTAGTATTGTGAAAGTTGTAAACCTAAGAAGTAATATCGTCTAAGGAAGTAGATTAATGCAAAAATATTAATGGGAGGAGTGAAGAGAGAACGCTTAGAGGTGCTGAGAATATAAGAGGTAGGATGCCAAAACATGAGCCACGGCAGTTAATGGTCATCCCTCGAAAAGATTAAACACCAGGAAAATTGTAACGACCTACTTACCTCGAATACTCAGTTCCAAAGAAATGCATGATATCGTCATTTGGACCGTTTTGCAGTACAAAGAGGTAGGATATATCCGGCTGGAGCGTCCGTGTCTCGGCCTCTTATACCATTGAAATTCCAGAGTCGATTACTAAAACACAGAAGTGAAAAATACTCGAAAACGACAAAAACGCAAATAGACAGGACTCCGACGCAAACCAACAGTAAATGCGACTGGTGCCTAAGAAATCTTGGGCGTATGCTGGAAGACAATCAAGCATACAATGGCACTGAAGTAATTCTTACTAAGCAAAAGCTCATTTCGGATGAAATCTCTTCAGACCGGTCACTGTACATGTCCAGGAACATTTGCCACCATCATGGCCGAGACAAGACTGTCAGCATCAACTGCAACTAAATTTTATCTGTGGAATATAAGTAGACCTATTTCGGAATGCGGTCAGGAATCGCGTTCATAACTAATCTGCCTCCGGCAACTACCAATGAGCTGTGTGGCTGAGACAGTGAAAGTACCCAACAAACACAATATCAGGACCAGGTCGTCTTCAGGAAAGGGGTTGATGACAAATCGCAGCAAACGCATTCAGTACGGGACCTGACACTGGTGTGCGTCCGTCAGTCAGAGCAAAGCAGGAGTAGCGAGTTCTCGAGAACGCCTGTCATAGTCGCCTGTGGTAAATCGAGTGACGAATTGGCTACATATCGTGCTTGGCTGCTCTTGGGAATGCAGAATTCGCACAAGTGGTGACTGCATGACTCAGACATGCTCTGGCGCAGAGGGCTGTCGTAGGATCCTGGTCTACAAAATAAGTGGAAGATATGTGACGAATATAAGGGCAAATAAGGCGCAGGGGTGCTCGAGAACAATAACGGATAAACAATTACTGGACTGGAATGTCCCCACCGCTGTTGCGTGCTCAGCCATACGCGTACGGAATAATCTCCCGGTTTCTCCGACGTAGTTGCTCTGTCCGCAACTGCACCAGATCTGGTAAACGACTCCAGACGTTTCCTGCCGTAGCAGCGAGTCTTTCGGTCTCATGACGTGGCACCTGATTGTTGCCTCCGGCCTGTGTGCAACTTCAACTCCAAGTGGATTGAGTAACTAAGGGACTTGGAAGGGGAATGAGCAGGAAGAGGACGGTAAAATCAGAATAGGTGACACAGGGGTGGGATGAGGACGATAAAGAGGGCGGGATGGGAGTTGAATGAGGAGGAGGGGAGATAATAGGATGATGATGAGAAGAAGGAGAAAAACAGGATGAAGGTCGAAGAAGCAATGGAGAAAGAGGGAGGTAAAGTGGAAGCATTCGAAGGGGAAAGTCAGGGAAAAATATGAATCGGACGAATAGGATGATGAGGAATGAAGCAATGATATGGCCAGGGGAAAGGAGGAAAAGGAGAAGAAAGTGGAGAAAAGGACCCCAGAGTGACGCTCATTTTCTCTATAGAACCGTGAGGTTTTCTTTTAACGCACGCGATTTTTCGAGCTGTATACACAGTTACCGGACTCGTCAGCATTTCATTTGGCACCGAAACTCACTGAAGAGTGTTCGGGCGGTTCACAATGGCTATTTCGGAGAATTCAACATGTTTAAT